TCCCACACAGGTACTTTCACCAACTCACAGAGATTGCAACACTAGCTTGTCTGAACCCAAAGGAAAACGGATTAGAAGCTATCAGATTCCCAGAGTGTCATGTGGGGTGCTGAGCACAGCAGAGAATGCACTTAAAGGAATGTGGTCCCTTACAGATGCTAAGAGCTAGATAACACCAGCTCTTATTGGTGCAGTTTACGGCATGTGGCAACAAGGGTTTTGGTGCAGGGTGGCTTTATTCTGTCACATGTGGCAGGCAGTGGGATGAAAGAGAGGATGAATAGCCGGTCAACTGAGTGAAGAAGGAATGAAGGCAACTAAAGCCCTGGAAAATGCCTGGAAATGGCCATGTAGTAAGTGTTCCAAGTCAATCCAAACAAGTTGGCAGGGAGGCCCTGAAAAGTTCCAGTTAGAAGGGAGGAGGGCTGGATAGAGCCCAGAAAGGGATCTCCAACCCTCACCTTCTGCAGTTAGCCAAAGCAGCCTGCCGCCAGGGAGGTCCCAGGCAACAACAAAACCCAGATCACACCAAATGCACAGTTACTTCCAAAAGTCCGCGGCTGCCGTGGAGCATCCCTAACTAAGAAGGTTCCCATGGGGCCACTGTGATCCCTTTAGCTCCCTTCAGCAGTAAGAATCATCCGAGACCGGTTTGGCTCAATGGATAGAGCGTCGGCCTACAGACTGAAAAAGTCCCAGCTTCGATTCTGGTCAAGAGCATGTACCTTGGCTGCGGGCACAACCCAGTAGGGCTATTTTAAAGCCAGTCATTTTAACAAGGCTGGGAAATTCAATCTTAGTCCTTTGTCCATTTCCAATTCATTTCTTCCTTGGCTATCTCCTCCCCTGGGCAAGGGACAAAGTCAAACTGCCCAGAGATGGGGGAGATGCTCTCCGATTCTCCCAGATTTCTCTGAATCCTGTTTTCTTCTTCTAAATGGTGAAGTGAGGGATAGGAGATAAAAACTAGGCCAATTGGATCAGAGCCTCTGAGCAAAAGCTAAGGGGAAGTTTTCTTTGAATGGGGAAGGGAGAAGGACTAGGATCCTGATTTCCACATTGTTTACTCTTTTTAAAAAAAAAATACATTTTATTGATGTTTTCAGAGAGAAAGGGAGAGGGAGAGTTAGAAACACTGATGATAGAGAAACATCATCAGCTGCCTTCTGCACACCCCCCACTGGGGATGTGCCTGCAACCAAGGTACATGCCCTTGACTGGAATCAAACCTGGGGCCATTGCGTCCGCATGCCAACACTCTAACCACTGAGCCAAATCGGTCAGGGCCATTGTTGACTCTTACAAGTCTAAACTCTACAGCAAGGTGTAGGAAGGAGGTAGCCTGTGACCGTTGAAGAAAATAAAATATGGGCCAGTTCCCCCAGCTTGGCACTAGGGGGCTCTGAAGCACAGCATCTTTCTCCTCAGGGGAGAACTGAAGACCAGGGAGGGGCTACCCTTTGATCCCGCCGGCTAAAACCCTCTGTGGTTCACACGGAGCACTGGGAACTGGTCCTGCCACATCATCCAAAAGGGAGAAGGGCATGCCATGTCCTTACCGTGTCCTCTGCTCCGGGTCAGGTCAGCTCCTCAGAGTCACAGCTTGTGTCCCACGTGAAAACCAGATCTGGAATGGCTTGAGTCGGGAAAAAACCAAGCAAGAGTGTTATTTATCCTGTGTGCCCAGCCTGAGCCAACAATGATAGCTAACTTGCTGGGCACTTACCATACACTGAACTGTACTGTAAGTCCTGTATGTGCGTGTCTCCTTTAATCCTACATTCGGAATCACAACAAACCTAATAGGAAGGTCCATTGAGATTGCTGGTTCAGAGCAAACCACAGGGAAGGAGGACAAACACTGGAAACTTCAGCCCAGGGGACTCAGGCTGAAAGGCATTTCCAACATTCCTAGTCATATAAATAAGTCATATATATCTTCGTAAGCTATATGAATATCTAACCACAATGTTTTATACTGGAAACTAATGTAATAGTGTATATTAAGTGTAATTGAAAGAAAAATATTTTTAATTACAAGAAAAAAAGCATTTCCAACATACCTCAGCTGGGGTGAGTCATGAGGAAAGACCCTCACCATTAACTTTACTAAAACCCAGTGGGAAAATGAAAACAGAAACTGCCACGTTTGCAAAGCTGTAACCTCGATAAGAGACCGGCCGTGACACAGCATGGAGCTTATCAGCCCCAAATCCCCACACCTCTGCGGGAGGGGCTGGTTCAGTGGAGGTTCGGATGGGTCAGACTAGGTTTCCTGATTCCTAAGAGCTGGTCAAATAATCTGATCCCAAACACAAAATGATCCTTCTTCAAGCCAAGGAAGGTTCTGTGCCTTGCTTAGTTTTCTACTCTTGACCCTGACCTACCCCTGAAGTATCTTGGGTTCTGGGGTTTGTAAAATTCTTCTCATTCTCACTGCTGATGCCCAAAGGCAGACTGTGGTGCCAGTGCAGCCATCCCTCCGGGGTGTGGACATCAGCAGGGGCTTCCCACGGGGCAAGGACAGGGTGTCACAAAGGCCTCCTGAGTGGCCAAAGGCCAAACGAGTGTTCTCAGCCTCTCCTCAGTCCTGTCATAGTCAGTGAGCCTGCAGGATCCAGCTTATCAGAAGTGTCATTATTACGTGTCTAACAGGGAAGACCTGCTCAGCATCAAGAAACACTTTAGTTCAGGGAGGAACAGATACTGCCTAAGGATAAGGGCAGAGACACTCAAGTCTCTGCCATAGGTGGCTCCTGCTCCACCTGGCTCCGGTGCTGCTTGGCAGACCTGGCCAACACCTACTCTACCTTTCCATCGTTCTCTTTTGGGACCATCACAGCACAGCCCTCACTCATCACTTCCCGATCAGCCCCTCCCTGGGTCATTTATCACTTTTCCGCAGCCTGGAGCTTACAGAGGTTGGAAGGTTTTTTTGGTGGGTGATTTCAAGCCAACCAATTTTTAGATCCTCCACAGCTGCTATCTGGGGCCCACAACTTCCCAGCCCCAACTAGCAGTACATGATCACAGGCCTGAATGCATCTGACTGGCTTCTGAACAATTAACTAAGCCCAGACAAGTTGTAAGAATGTCAGATTAATACCTCATCCAACAGGAAATACAGTGGTTGTTGGGCAGATGACGAACTCAAAGTAAGTGTTGTAAAAATGTAAGCTTGTTATGTTAAAACTAGAGGCCCAGTGCACGAATTCATGCATAGGTAGGGTCAGGTCAGCCTGGCCTCAAATAAGATTGATCAGGGTCGGAAGAGACGGAGGGAGGTTGGTGTCTGGGAGGGCCAATCGGGGGTGGAGCTGGCTGGGGGGAGGGACCACAGGCTGAATGGGGTGGTAAGGGCTAATCAGGGGTGGGGCTGGCCGTGGGGAGAGGCTGTGGGCCAGCTGGCCCCATCCCAAAATGGGGTGGGGAGACTAAAGGGGGCCTGCGGCCTGGGCAAGGGGCTGTGGGTGGTTGGCTGGCTGGCCATTCCCCTGATTAGTGTGTGAGGGGGGACTATCTGGGGTGGGGCAGGGTGGGGGAGGAGCTGCAGGAGGTTGGCAAGACAGCCCCACCACTATTGGAATTGGGGGGTGGAGGTGATCAGGAAAGGGACCAGCCAGGGGGAGGGGGCTGCAGGCTGATCAGGGGCAGGGCTGGCTAGGGGAAAGGGCTGCAAGGGAAGGGGGTTGGCCAGCTGGCTCCACCCCCTGATCGCTGGTTCGCTGACTGCAGTGGGTGTCATAGTAACTGGTCGTTCCAGCATTACGGTCACTGGCTTTTTATATACAAATGGTCTCTTTTTCAATAGCAGAAAAAAATTCTCCCTCCCCCCATACAATAATTAAAATAATTTTAATTCTTACAACTCAATTTTCAATATCCTTCTTTGTTACTTGAAAAAAGGAGGGGGAAAAATCTGCAACTCAGGTCCCGTTTAAGATGCATGTTTTTATTGAAATTAAAAAAAATTTGTAACCAGACAGAATAGACAAGAATGTTATAATCTTACTATATAATCTCTCAATCTTGTTGAATCACTAAAATATAGCGTAGGATTGTTCTCTATGCTAATTTTAAGGTTGTCCAGTTAAACCATTATTTGGTATCTTTTCAACAGGTACTCTTAACTATTTAGAATTTCTTATCAGAAACATTCATATATTATACAGGAAACATTCATAGTTTATTTTCAAAACATTCATATTTTATACAGGATATACAAATCTGAAACAATAAAAAACACACACACACACAATTGTAGCCGCAACACTATCTCCTAGCTGCATTGTGGTGATGATATTCCATCGGTGTCCACTACACACAAAGGATTTTAATCATGTTATATACAGAGGGGCCAAAAGCACTCATCTACGGTCAAGGCGCTCGGGTTTAATGTGCACTTTCACAGCCCTGTGAAAACACCACCATTATATACACTGTAAACACCACAGGGCATGCAATCCATCTCCATCCACAAACACCAATCTCACAGGATCAAGCATACAAGGCCTAAGGTAAGGTGCCTGCCTCTCCTTCATAAGCATCCTTTTCATCCATGACTGCTGCTCTTCTTTCCACAGGACACTACTCACTTATTTCAAATACGGTGTCCGCCAGTGCTCAGAAATTTCTGGGACCCCTTTTTGGGGATGCCAGCACAAACTGCAGTGAATTTTTCTGTCCGTCCTTGATGATGGCAAGTCTTCATCCTCTGAGGATGGATTTGGTTTGGGAAAACAGGCATGATTATTCACAGCCAACTGAATCAGCCTGGGCTTTCACCCTGGGTCAAAGAGGAGGCAACACTGTAAAACAATGAGACCAGTTTTCTTGTACAGCTTGTAAATGAAAAAAATGCCCGAGCAACAGCAGTCCTGAAGGAACCAGTACAGATTCTCCTTGCGATGCTCTGAGAGGCAACACTCACTTGAACAGTGAGTCTAGGTGGTGGTTTGCAGTACTAAAAATCAGCCATTTGGTCACCTCTCACAGAGGCTTTAGTATTCCTCTTCAGTTTCAGTCCCTTTTGCTTTCTTATGGATTGCCCGATTAAAGCTGTGGCAAGCAGGGACCCAGTGATTGTCATGAAGCCCCAGCTTACAGCCAGGGAAGCCTTTCTGAGAGCGATGGCAACACATCCAGTATCCTGGCCCGTAAGGCAACGCCTGGCAATAGGGCTTGGGATGCCACCGGCACAGGGACACATCCCCCTTCACGTATTTTTTCTTGCACTGCTTACAAGGGTCCTCTCTATAGCGTGGGTCTCGAACCCAGCGAGAATCTGCTGGCCTGATGTTGTAGTACTCAATGATGAACTTGAAATAGCAGCAGGTACATTTAAGAGCCACTAAACTCTTGGTGGGGAGTAACCTGAAGATTTTCACCATAATGTGATGGGGCAGGAAAGCCATGTACTGCTGAGGTTCTAAAAGCTGCTGGATTTTAAATCTGGTCTCCAGAAAGTCATGGGACACCTGCTTCTTCCAACTGGCGGCCTCGAGCACCGGTACTGTGCTTTCCCCAGGAGGGGCGGGCGCTGGGACGAGCGAATCAGCCTGAACAGTTTTTCCCTCAGATGCACTGTCACCCTCAGCAGCATCTTCAGGCTGGCTGGCCTCTGGAGACTCTTGGGTTGTGCTTTCATTCATCTGGGAACAGTCTGACTGCTGCTGACCAGGCAGCAAAAAGAACAGCCTCCCTGGAAGTGGGTCTCCACAGGACTTTAAACGAGAAGGCTGGTCCCTCTCCACCTTGGACACAGTGATGCTAATGCACACAGATTCTCTTCTTCGCTGATCAGGATTTTGTGGCACAAGCTCTTCTCGACTCATACGATCAACAGCCTTCGTGGGCAACTCAGTGGTTTGGGGACAGGTTCGAGGAGGGTAAGGTGGCTCAGGTTCCTCTGTCATTTCTATGTCACACCTGTTGCTGTTTTTCACAGCAGGGTGCTGGTCTGGCTCTGTTGCCGCACTCTCCCCGTGGAAACTCACCCCCGCTGGCAATGAGGGACAGCCCAGAGGAGCCCCCTCCCAGGGCTGCTTCCCCCCTGCAGAACCATGGTCAGCTCTTGCCGGGCCGCAGTCCACAGACACAGGGGCCTCCAAAGCGCCTTTGTTTGTTTTGCCTTCATCGGCCTGAGTGCCGTTTGCAAGTAGCACCCGGCCTACATTCCGCCGGAAGCTGTTATTCCTCGAGAGGCTCCCAGGCTCACTCTGGCTCTGCCGCTTCAGGCACTCGGACTCCAGCCGGGCTACCATGTCGAGGACGCGGACTGGCTCACTCTGGGGATCACCAACTTCAGGGTTTCCCCTTTCCATGGGTTCCTCACAAGCTCCTGGGGCAGAAAAGGGCTCCGAGGCTGGAGGCCCACCTCTGGATTGCCCAGAACTCCTCCCCACGGCAGGTGAGTTGGTGCAGTTTTTCGCACAACTGGCCAGCAGAGCGGCACTGGCTCTTTGCTCCAGGAAGGCAACCATCTGTATGACCGACAGAGGCCTCCCAGCACAGACACTGTCCCCACTGTCACTCACGTAATGCACAGAACAGTGCTCAATGCCGCACGCAAAAGGCTCAGGCTCATAGCACCTGCTGTTGATTTCCCTCATCCTTTCTAACTGTATCTTGGCTTCTTTAAGATCCCCTGATTTTTTTCTTCTTTTAGTAGCTCTCCCCTCAATATCCCAGGAGCTTTTTATTTTCATAGATCCTATCCTATTGCTACACTGGTGGGCTGCAAAAAATGCGATTTTCTCCTTGGTATTTCCCGGTTTCACCACAGCCCAAATATCAAGCGGCCCTTCCCCTCCTTTGCCCTGGTGGATTGTGGCAGATGGTGCATTCTTCTTGGTTTTAACATTCAAGCTGCTCTCTACAGGACTCTTCCCACTCATGCTGCACAGAACATTTGGAGAAAGGACCCCAAAAGGCTCGCGAGATGATGCTTTACCAGGAGAGGTGGAAGGGAAGACATTTGATTTCATGTAGTTAGCTTTGCATTTTTCGTCATTTATAGCCTCTTGGTGGCTCATGGAAGTTCTCAGAGTTTCCTTGCTAATTTGGAGAGGTTGTGCTTTCCTCTGCAGATTCCAATATGGCTTTAGGTGCATAACAGAGGCTCTACGGGAAAGAAATACACATTTGATTACGATTCTCATTTTGTTTTTAGGTAATTTTAAAAAAAATTTTTATTTACACTCAGATAGTTCTAGCAAATAATAGAAACATTTTCTATCAGTTCACTAAATCTTTACCAACTCTCACTTCAGCTAGTTTTTAATGTACAGATCAAGAATAACAAAAACTGCCTAGCCGGTTTGGCTCAGTGGATAGAGGATTGGCCTGTGCACTGAAAGGTCCTGGGTTCAATTTCAGTCAAGGGTACATGCCCGGGTTGCGGGCTCGATCCCCAGTACAGGGCATGCAGGAGGCAGCCAATCAATGATTCTCTCTCATCCTTGATATTTCTATCACTCCCTTTTTCTTCCTCTCTGAAATCAATAGAAATATGTTTTTAATTTTTAAAGAATAACAAAAGCAAACTAACCATTTTCCATGGTGTATAGGCCAGAAAATAAGTTGGACTTTTAGACACTGGACAGAGAATTTCAGAAAACTGACATTTAGTCAATATTTTATACATAAAATTAGTGCTTAAAAGAAAGAAATATGAACCTACTGAATATATTCCAGTAGGTAGAAGGCAGTATAGAAGAAAGGAAACTAGAAAAGAAACTCATCCAGAATTCCTAGTCGATTAACACTATTTTCTAAGTCATTTGCAACTAGCATTTTATTGGTTGCAAAAGTATATCAAAATTATTATATTTTTTCTAAGCTATTCCCACACTTGAATATCCATATGTTTATATGGATGTCTGCTTATGCACTTTGCCCATCTATTAGTCTTGATTTTCTAAATAATCTATTTGTATAAGCTCCTCACTGCCAGTTTTTTTCTGCGAATATTGTAAATCAAATCTAGAACATCTAATCCTTATTAATTCTAAAAGCCATTTAGAACCAATTCAGAAAAAGTGCCTTGTTTTTGTTCTCTAATCTGGGGTAGAGATGAGAGCCATTTTTAAAATTACACAAAAAGATGATTACATGCAGAGATCTGAGTTCTAGTCCTTACCATATCACTAATTAACCACACAGAATGATTTTTACCTTGGACAAGTCACTTACTCTTGGAGTCTGCATTGAAACATTAACTGAGAGGTCAGAATACCAGATTACCTATCCAAAGATCTCATCGTTTAAATGTTAAAATAGCCCACTGCTATACAAGAAAGTGTTCTGTAGGGATGCCTGGTGTCCTACAAAATAAACCTACAGACCGAAATAAACATCTGCAGTCTCAGGTTGGCGGAGTGAGGCAAGAGCAGTCTAAGAACATGGACTTTCACCTATTCTGACTCATGGGGACACCAGTCTAAGACATTCATACTGGGCAATTCAGCATATTCCTCTCATTCACGCCATAACTTTACTGAGTGCCTGCAATGTGGCAGCCTTTGAGGTAACTGATTTCAGATATCAGCTTTAATAATGGAATGAAATCATCCAGAACAAGTTTACCTTTCATTTCAACTTTTAACTCCTAGAGTCCAGTCTCAGCTAAAAGAAGAAATGTGGATATAAGTATCTTCCAGCTAGGTAAACAGAAATCTTGCATTTAAGGCACACCAGGTATCTTTTATTTATTTTTTTATATTTTATTGATTTTTTTACAGAGAAGAGAGAGGGATAGAGTTAGGAACATCAATGAGAGAGAATTATCCATCAGCTGCCTCTTGCACACCCCCTATTATGGGGATGCAACCGCAACCAACATATATGCCCTTGACCGGAATCGAACCGAGGACCTTTCAGTCCCCAGGCCAATGCTCTATCCACTGAGCCAAACTGGTTTTTTAAAAAATAGGTATCCCTGAAATAGACCTTTGTTTTTTATCTTTGGCAATTTATATCCCAAATCTGTAAAGATCTTCCCCTTTCTGCATGATAACATTTTAGTAGTTTTCTATTATATATTCTGTAATTTGGTCTTATAAAAGAACCACCCAGCCAAAACTGGTTTGGCTCAGTAGATAGAGCATCGGCCTGGGGACTGAAAGGTCCCCGGTTCAATTCCGGTCAAGGGCATGTACCTTAGTTGCGGGCACATCCCCAGTAGGCAGCTGATTGATGTTTCTCTCTCATTGATGTTTCTAACTCACTCTCTCTTCCTCTCTGTAAAAAATCAATAAAATATATTTTTTTAAAAAAGAACCATCCATAACTCAAGAATAAGAAGAAGATATATGAATAAAATAGATAAACTAATAAATAGTAAATGGAAAAAAAAAAAAAGAGGCACATCTAGAGCTATCTCTGTGTCAACAATTTTCTGTTTTTTTCCATATTCTTTCAACTCCTAAGTAAAATGAAAGACATGGAGTTTGCTAAAAAATCCAATAAATTCTCACATAATGATCTTATTACAGAATGTCTGTGGATAAATTTAAACTTCAGCAATGTGTGTACCATTCTGCATCGTACAATATGTTCTCTTTGCCTTCCTCCCCCACACATTATTTTAGGTGCTAAATTGATAGACGGGGACATTAAGAAGAAACAGAAGGATTTTGTTTGCATTTATTAACCTGTAAAGTCAGCTCAAATGACATATTACTAATAGATAAGGTTTTATAGCAGATTAAATAGGAGATGATCCCAGGGAACCAAAGGGAGGGAAGGAAAGATACAACATGGAAGGAGAAAAGCTAACAAAAACCATGTGATGCAATCAGGAGACTACTGGAGGGTGGGGGACAATTCTATCAGTCCCTTGAAGATGGGGCATTTAGGCTTGAGTTCCCAACTGGCTGAAGATTGCCTAGGATATTAACCTCTCTGCTCCACTGCAAGCCTGGGAGACCCTGTCCTGGCAAGACTTAAGAGTAAAAAACAGAACTCTGGTTCTGGTTGAAATCGCTGGTGAACCACACCATATGAGCAAGGCACCAATGGCATCTGCTGCAAAGATCCATGAAAAAAACTGCATCTCTAATAGATTACATCAGACGGTGGCGCTTTTCCCACCCCCACCTACCTCCCTTAAACAGACACTGCAGAAAGCTCCAGCCAGGTTTCCATGGTTGCCAATCTCTTTATCACAATTATATTTTTAAAGTTCTCTATAATAAAGTCCTGCTCTCTTGCAATTAAATAAACTGCAGAGATATAACACCTACCTACACAAGACTGTTCCTGAGACACTCAGAAATGTCCTTGTAAAAAATTAAGATCCCTGGGCCCATTGAGTCAGAATTTCTGGGGTTGGGTCCAGAATCTGTTTTTAACCCTAGATTAACTGTAATGGAACTTTAAAAGTCATGTGTTAGATCTGGTGTTAAGAGTGCCATGGGTTCCAGATCTGGGCTGGTGCTGGACTGCCTCAATGGGGGTGAGGTGGAACTGCTCAACAAAAAGCCAAGCAGCCAGTCCATCCTGAAGCACTCATCCTGACAGGTAAAGACAGACCCGTTTTCTTGTTATTCTCTTTAAAGCTGAAAAAATTTTATGACCTATCACCCAATTTCCTCTTCAACTTCAACTCCTCAGTTTCTGTGACTGTGCTTTTTTTTCAGATCTCTTCTTCTCCTGCCCTTAATCAGTGTTGCTCAGAGTTTTGTTTTTCTAGACCATTGTCACGCAAGCCATATATCTAAGTGATCTCTTCTAGTTTTAATGACCACAAACTGATGACTCTCCACTGACGTGCTCTTCCAAACTTCATATCCTATTGCCTGCCTAGCAGACATACTCACCTGGATATCAAAAAGAATCTCAAAAACCAACAAAACTAGTTAATGATTACATCAAGTACCTAGTCCAGAAAGTTGAGTCACTTTGATTCCTCCACCCTGACCCCACATCCAATCACCAACTCACTAATATGCTCCCTCTTCTTCATCCCTAGCACAACTGCCCTAGTTTAAACAGCTGCCTCATCTCTGCTACAGCACTGTTACCACAGGAAAGCCTACCCTTCCCCGCAACGCCAGGTGGTGGAGTCCACCCAGCCAGCCTGCAATATCAGCTCCAGCCTATCAGATCGCCTCCTGCTGTGCCCTGCTACCATACTTCACACTCTGGAAGCTCGTCCACAGAACCATTACCATGGGAACAGGTGAACAAAGGCCAATCATATCACTTTTAGATACAATTTTTAAGGCATCCAGAACCATAAAACTAACAACAGCTTTAAAACTTTCATATTAACAGCCACCCATTTCCTTCTATCCATTTATTATGAAAAGTTTATTACATGCTCTGGGCTGGAGACAACTGTACAATATGAATAAGGCCTAAAGCCACCTTTAAGGGAACAGAAAAGTGAACAGGCGATTACAACAGAGTGTGTGATCTGTGTTATAAGGTAGGAGAAGAGGAGAGGGGGCTATCAGCACCACGGTCTTGAAGGTGTAGAAAGAAGTCGAGAAGCCCTGATTGTCAAAGCTAAGTAAGTGCTGAAGGGAGATAAATGAATTCCTAAGAGATTTGAAGTAGACGGTGCTTTTGGAAAACTGAGGTAGGTGAGAAATAACCAGAGTCCAAGCTAAGGTGTCATGAGTGGGAAAATGACAAGTAAACGAATTAGAAAGAATAGGCAGGATTTTAGCCACTAATTATAAATGGAGGTTGAAGGAGAGGAGTAAGAGTTGAGTCCTCGTCTTATGGCTTCAGCAACTAGATGGAGGGGGTACCTTTTAGTGAGATGGTAACGAAGGTAGCTGAGCAGATCCGGAGCAGGGGGATCAGAAGCTGTCTTTTTGAGATGATTTTTAGTTGTTGCCACCTAGCAAAGAGATTAACACAAGAGAATGGGAGGAAAGAAATAAGACAGTTGTCATAGAAACTTTAAATGAGGAAAAGGTTTTCTGGATAGAAATTACAAATGTCTTTTTCCAAAAATCTCACAATGTATCACTGTTATAATCTGGAAAAAAAATGTGCATAAAAGGCAGGCACAGACACTTTTAGGCCCTGCAGCGAGGTCAAATGAAGAACTGTGTCCAGTTAGCCAGGGAAGGAGATCCCTGGTCACCCTGCTGTGAGG